CCCCCCAAAAGGAGGGGGAAAGTGTGCCTGCGTCTTATGGAGCGAATCCCGACGCCCGAGACATGCAGTTTCGGGCGCTGGTCGAGTAGTAGGAGCCACTGCTCGTTTAATACAAGTGATCTAATGAGATCACTCGTATTAAAACCGAGCAGCGGCGGCAGCGATCGTGATCAGTAGTAGGAGCCACTGCTCGTTTAATACGAGTGATCTAATGAGATCACTCGTATTAAAACCGAGCAGCGGCGACGATCGAGATCACCATAGAGCAGACGAAGAACGGACTTTCTTCGTCTGCTCTGTGTGATCACTGAGACCGTGGCGCTGTAATCACAGCGCCACCTGTCTCAGCGGTCACTAACTGCAGCTTCTGTCACAGCTTCTGTCATAGAAGCTGTGACAGAAGCTACGGTCTGTCGAGTGCTCCATAAGGCGTGCCGGACCTCCCTGCGTCCTATGGTCCGGTGCGTCTTATGGACCGCAAAATACGGTATATCTTTCAAACCAAAAACAAATAAACACAATCTCTGAATAAAAATCAGTAATCCTCCATTCACAACAGGCTGTACTCTGTGGAAAATAAAAAATACCCTTGCAATGGGTCCCTCCCTTCCCCCACGCTGAAAGGGTTAAATGCTTGTGTAAGCCTAGGGTACCAGGAAAAAGGACTTTTACTTACACTATTCTTCATTTTCCCATCAGCCAGTGCTCTCCTCTTCCCCCTGATGATCAGGCACTCTCCTTTTCCCGGAAAAAATAGCCAATAGCGCCGGAGTCGACCACTCCACTGAAGACATATGCACGCAGAGGTTCCACAGGTCCCCACATCAGTCAGGGAGACTGTGATATCTGATAAAACATAAACAAAAACAGGGGGGGCCTTCCCTAGTGTAGATATGCCTGTCACATATGCCCTGCAGCTTGTACTTCTCTCCCAGCACTCGCACTGATCTTATCTTCATGCGGACACTGTCAAGTCACACCTTTCATGGCGGCACTCTGTCCCCCTGATCGGCCAGAGGGCTCCGTGACGTATAGTATGCAAGGCGATCAGAGGACCGTTCCTCTGGGGCTTATGACTAATAGTTACGTTCCATCTGTCAGTTAGAGGCTCCAGTGATTGGCTGTTAGCCTCTATTTAATTCAATGGGAAGGAGGAAGAGGTTAGGTTCTGAGGAAGGGGGCGTGGCCCCAGAAACGCGTTAACCCAGGCATATTTTGCTGTTACACAGGAACTGTCATCTGTGCTGCTCTCACATGCGGTGTCTTGCCTTTGTTAAGACTGACAATCAATTTCTGACCTTGAAGGCTTATTGTCATCTACTCTTTGTGATTATTATTCTATTTTTGCTATTTGCTCAATAAAATGTTATCTACATTAGGGAAGGCGCCCCCTGTTGTTGTTTATGTTTTATCACTGTCCTCTTCCCCCTCACGATCAGGCACACTCCTCTTCCCTGGTTGTAGATGGGCCTTCTGTGCCCTCATGTATAATGCAGTCAGATGAGGTCAGAGTGCCTGTGATCACCAGAGAGCCGCAGAGAAGAGGCTGCAGGGATCTTATAGCATGAAAGTAAAAGTCCCTTTTTCTGGTACCTTGAGCATAAATGAGCATTTAACCCTTGCAAGGATTTTTTTCGTTTGTTTTCAGCTTTAAAGTGTATCTAAAGTTTTGGATTGACAGAAAGGATTAATAATAAGCTGTCTTTATTTGGAACCCAATCCGTTTGAGTGTCTTTTCTCCTCAGTTTAGAAATACAGCAGGGCACCAAACCAAAAGATGAAAGAGTCCAAAAGTGCCTTTAATTGTTAACTACCCCTTTATCAGGGCTTAGAATGGGAAACGGATTTGACTAGACTCATAAGATACTATAACCAAATGGATTTCTATATGGTTTAATACAGGGGTCAAAATTTCAAGTCCTGAGCTACTAGCCAGGCCTTAAGAGTTACTCGCCACCAGTTGCCCACCTAACCCTTACCCTATCGTGGCCTTAACTCCGCCCCTAAACACACCCTCTTAAATAATCTTATCAATGAGACTGTTACATGTTTTATGCAGAATAAAGTTACAAGAATAAATATTAATATTCTGACTCCGATTGTTGTGATAGCGATTTATCCCTTGTTGAGACCTCTAAGCCTGGCCTGTATAAGCAGATACAATCACTGCGGACAATCCTTGTCAGATAGCTGAACTCACCAATACCGTGTTCGTCCACAAAGGTTGCTTTATTCTGAACGTGAAGATAACAGGATAACAGCAGATGGATGGTTACAGTATTATGCGGTCAAAAAATGATGCCTTTCTTAGCGTACTATGCAGAGTACATGTGTCCTGATTACATGTGGCTGTTAGCTGTTGCCATGACACCGGAAAAACTGACAACAAGACGAAGGGTGGGGATTATACACAGAG